TTAAATGTTTCTTTGTTTTTAATAATTGAAGAGATAGTCGATTTTGTTACATTATATTCTTTAGTGATATCATAAACATGAATGCTGTTCTTGGGTTTTGAATACGTGGTCTGTTCAAAAAGTATCGGACCTTTTTTTTCCGCATAAACCAATGATGCGTGAGAGGCCTCCTTCGGTGGAATTGTGGAGGGGACAGTCATGCACAGCCCTGAATTTTTTCCCGCCTGCAGGAAGCGTCAGTCGTTGGCAATCGGCCTATGAGTGAGGTCATGTAGTGCGCTCTCGTCGGATTCCACTAAGCTGGAAAATGACTGAACAACGTGAGCAGCGATATTACATCAAATTTTGCCAAAAACCTTGGCGATACCCGAGTGTAAACCATTCGCAAGATTCAGCAGGCTTTCGGGGACGATCCTCGAGGCCAAAAAAAGCGCGGCAGGTCCGCAGCAATATCAAAGGTCATGTTGACAGTTTTTTCGACTCTCGTGGGGTGGTGTGTCGTGAGTACGCACCACAAGGCCAAACCATCGCAAAGGAGTACTACCAGGAGGTCCTTCGTCGTCTTTCCGATACAGTGCGACGCAAACGACCGGATCTGTGGTCGATCAAAACTTGGCAGCTCCATCGTGATAACGCATCCGCCCATTCTGCGCATCTGATTCGGGCTTTCGTCGCCAAACACAATACTCCTGTGGTTCGTCACGCTCCGTACTCTCTCCACATGGCTCCGTGTGACCTTTGGCTATTTCTCAAGCTGAAAATGCCGCTAAAAGGAACCCAAATTTAGTCGAGAGAAGACATCATGCGAAATGCGACGGACCGGCTGATAACCATTCCAAAAGATGCGTTCCAGCAGTGTTTCCAGCAATGGCAGGAACGCTGGGAGAAGTGTATACATTACCAAGGAGACTACTTTGAAGGGGATTAGGGTTTTGTACCTCAAAGTCAATAAATTTATTTTTGCCGACCAAAGGTCCGATACTTTTTGAACACACCACGTATACTGTAATTTCTTTCTTTAATGCTATATTAAAACATTTTCTATCACCACTATCAGTTTTCTCTTTCTTGAGTATCCTATTGATTAAATATATAAATCACAAAACTGAAAAAATAAGTTTAGCACAAACACTCAGAAAAGCAATGTTTACCTCACACATGCCTAACAACAACTAAAATCTGACACAAAAAACCATTGCATTCGTTATTTGAATTTCATCCATTATTTGAGAAAAAATTTTTGCAAAATAAAAGTTTGTTAATCAATTTGGTCATTAACTAGAGCATTCATTAACCCAGGTTCCACTGTATTTTATTTTTCATGGTTAAATAACTAAACAATAATTGTTTATTTATTAAACTAGTTTAGTTAAAAGTAAAATTATTTTGGTGTGGGATAGAATGGAGTGAAAATATCCTTTTGGCAAGCAAAATATAAAACCTTTAAGATGATGATGCAATGTATCAAAATGATCACATTTTTTAAATTTTTGATTATTAAGCAAATATTTTATGAATTCTTACAGTATATTAGAAATCTTATTTTTGATGTATTGTTTAGTTTAAAATATTTATCATTATTAGAAAATCAATAACAAAATACAATTAACAAATTAATCTTTTATTATTCTCATTCTACTCATATGTACTGTACTTTATTCCACTTTCTCATGCATAGTAGTTTTATCTAAGTATTATTTCTTGAATTCACTGTACTACCAACAAAACCAGGCAATATTTTAAATGTTCAGTATGTAATGAGAAGAGGTGCAATAATTTAAAATTAAACATTTGTTTAACGATTAGTTAGTGAATTAATTGATGGTTTGTGGGTAATTGCTTATTTTGTTTATATATCAAAATTATATTTAAAAAAGATTGAGATATATATATACACTTTGAAGATTTTCAAATTTTAAGAATTGAAGTAACCATCAAGAATGAAAAAAATGAAGCTACTGAAAAGTAGGCATGGCTAAATTTTCATTAAGAAATGACAATTCAAAATGTACATGGTTTATCAAATTGATCAAAGGTGTCTGTCTGAAGGTTAATTATTTTTAAGTGTCCTTTAATCCAATTTTTAGAAATCTGGAAACTAGATAGTGAATTAAGATTCTAATATGATTTTTTTTTAATAGATCTTAGCAGAAATTTTCTTGACTAGGTTAAATAAAGTTGATCAACACTGATAACCATATGTTGATTATTGATATGTTGATTAGATAAAATATGAGATGAATTCATTTATATCTGTGTCTATATCAGTTGACACAATTTTTTAATGCATTATCAGATATGTGAAAGTTTATTTAACTAATAAATTGCAATATTTATACCAAATTTTATTTATAAAGTAGTAAATTTTGTTCTGTTGAATAAATTAATTCCATTCTTTAGTTAGATTTATTCACTGATTTTCTTTATCTTAATTACTATATTTATTATAGTTAGTTTTAGAATTATAATTTATAGTAAATGTTGTTGCAATTAGTAGAATCACTGTTAACTGTCTCAATTTATAAATATTTAATTATGATCATATTGTTGGATTTCTGTCATAATTAAATTTCTAATTACAGATGAATTTGGCACTAAAGGCAAGCAGAGTATCCATTTTGTTATTGTTTTATGATTGTATTGATATAATGATTTGTAATTCTGACTTAAGTAACAATTTTTGAAATGATTGTTTGAAATTGTATATGAATACTGTATTCCTATATGCTATGTGGCTATATAGTAGTACTACTTGGAATTTGAACTCAAATCAAGTTCCTCTGTAGAAATTTAAGTTGAAAGGACTTATATATAAATATACATGCATATATATGTAATTTTTGTATATACAGTAGAGTGTCGTTTATCCGAATCAATTGGGGACTGGGGTTGTTCAGATAACTTATTTGTCGGATAACCAATTATGTACGAAAAAAATATATTAATTTATCCCATGTTGAAATTTTTCTCCGTTGCATGTCGCTTCACGTTGAATTTTCTTTGATGTTAAGCCTAACGAAGACTATTGTATCGTTAAAAATTATTTTTTTATTTTGTACAAACAAAATAAATATATTGAAAANAAATAAGTGTAATCTGAGTACGCTGTTCTGTCACAGTTGGTTGAATCACGTGTTGAGAGTTTTGAGAGGAATAAATTAAATGTTGAGAACGACATGAGGTTGGCGTTAACAAAATCTCACTCGCGAATTTTGAGGCTGGTTAATAATACATGCAATGTCAACCATCTCATTAAATTAATTATTAAACATAATTTAAAATAAATTATACTAAAAAACTAATTTCATTGTTTTTTAATTACCTTATTAAAAATACCTTTTTCAATTGTATCGGGGTCGCGGGTCACTTGGCTTTTATAAAAAGGGGGTCGCTACCCGAAAAAGGTTGGGAACCGTTGACATAGAATGTCTGTCTGATTTTTCAGACATAGATTACTGGCATTAAGGAATTTCTGTTTAATTGAAAAGTTTATTCTTTGTTTTTATTTCATAATTTTGATGATAGATTAATTTTTATCAAACACAAATTTTTTTCGAAATGAAAGTTTAATCATAATTACTCACTGATGTTCAATTGATTTAATAATCAGAATGAAAATTGAATATATTTCCTTTCTATTTTAGATTTCACTGTACAATGCTTGACTTTATTTTTATGAAAATAATGGACTAAAGAATAAGTAAATACATAAATAATCTTAATTCCTGTATAGTAAAATGAAATTGCATTTACTGTACTGTACTTTAGTAATGAGTGGTGATGGCCTGTTTCTTCAAGTCACTATGCAAGTTGTTTGGCTTTCTCACAAAATTTTCATGGAGATGATTTCACCAACCAATTGCTTCTCATTTATCCACACTCTGAGCAGTTTTTCCAGCTCCTCAATAATGTGTGATCTCTTGGAGGTCAATATTTTCACACTTTTAACCGCATTTGCTGCTTTTAATTGCTTCTTTGTTCTTAAGAATGATACACATCATCAACTTTGATATGTTAAATATTGATGCCAGATTTGCCACATTGGTACCACTTTCATGCTTCATAATTTCCCTTTTCACCTCAATCATTGAAATTACAACCTTCCTGTTAGGCTTTGTTACTTCCACATACTTCTTGGATACTGCAGTTAATATGTTAATAGGTAGTATATATATAGGGTGTATATATATATAAAAGGTCAATGAGTTAAACATGAAAAATTGAAATTTTGTCATTTATTGATTGCAAAAAAAAACCAGAGCTTTCTGAAAAAAAAAAAACAAACAAACCCCTGATCTGAATTCAGAATCCTCAAATTAGTTAAGAGCAAGTGTTGATAGATATTCAACAAAAAACTTGTTAGCCAGTAATTATTTTTGGTATTAATAGTAGCAGTAATATAGCCCAATTTAATCCTTCAGACTTTGTTCTGCCATTCTAAAGGATCTATGCTTGAATCTGAGCTGGATCCTTAAATTTTTATAGGTGTTTTTTGGCCTGGAGTTTGAGAACTCTCCTTCACCCATTCTATTGTAGACTTGATTACATCCACAACAAACCATTGAACACTAGAAGTTGGTTATGGGTTTGCACTTTGCCAACAGGCTGGCCACATGGAGTTTTCTGGGTTTTCTTCATGCTAGTAACACCTAAATAGGGACTAGTTTCCTGTAGAAAATACTGGGAGACATCCCCATAACCAAATAAACCAAACTAAACCACATCCACAATAAACATGAGTAAAGATTTTTTAGTGTCTGCAGAATGGAAAGACAAAAATAAATTATTTTATACATTGTCAATAGAACATTTCTAAATAAAATCAAAATATGCAAAATATTTTTTTTATTTGCTTTCTGATTGTTGAAATAAATAGAATTTTTTTTCTCACCTTAAACAAATTAAACAAAAATTATGATTGTTTCATTATAATTATAGTTCATTTTATTAAAAATAAATGTTAAATGATTTCTTCGTATTTAAATTCATATTTATTTTTCATTCCAGATCTGTTGGAAGTAATTAAGAGAAATGTTTTTTCTATAATAAAAAGACTTCCGATAATTCGGACAATTGTTGCAAAGGAGATAGAGAAAGCAGTTCTACAGATAAGAAACAATACAAAAAAGATGATGAGTAATCCAGACTATCACCTTCAGCTACCAAAGGAAGGTTGGTCAAAGGTAATATTTTGAAAATGTGGCATTAAACAAAATTTAGTGTTTTATTTAATATTTAAGTGTAATATGTACTCTTTCAAACAATAATCCTTAATAAAATCTGAAAAATAGTCATTTCTGAAACAGGATTAGAATTCACAATCTGGCAAATTAGAGAATTTAACATGTACAATACATGACTATTACATCTTGCTGGAAATATTTTATATTCTTGATTTTTATCATCATCGTTTCTTGTTTTTCCTTGCATAAAATCACTTTTTATATCACTTCAGTGTTTTGTATAATTTAACAATCATTTATAGTTTGAAATAAATTTAAAATAGAGTTTTCACTATGTGCATAATTAAAGATATCTCATAATTAAAGATATACTACTGATTCTTCAATTGAATTATACCCAAATTCCCATAATTTTTCTTGGAATAGTATGAAAAGGTTGAGGCATTGTTCCCATGCATTTATGTGGTCAATCCTGTTGCAGTTCAGAACTTTCTGTAATGAACAGAATTGTGGCTGATTGTGTAGCCTAAATATACAAGTGTCTCACATTAATTAATTAGTCAATCATTAAAACAGACTTTGTCTGTCTATAAATAATTATTTGAATTGCTTGAAGTTAACTATAGCTTTCAAACTGACAAAGCATATTCTGAATTTATTGAGTTATTATAAGTGAATGATAGGTAAAAAAAGCCTATTATTAACATTATTAATAACAGAAATAGCATCCTGTTACAACTAGTACATTAAACTGTAGTTGCCTAACAAAATTTTGTTTTGTAAAACTTTCAAAAATTTCTGTAGAAGATAAACTTTTGCAAATTCTCATCAAAGAAACCTCCTGCCAATTTGAGAAATGTGACCTTGCATTATTATGAAGTAAAATTACTTGAGAGAATGGTCTGCTGTAATTTTTTCAGGGTTTAACAACAACTTTTGATGGTTATTGTTGTTCCATAAAGAAGACAATACAAGGTCACATTTTGTCATAGTGCACATGAATTGCTGAAAATATTTCAAGTGGAAAATCTTTGAATAATATCTGTATATTCCCAATCTAGCATCATCTGACTTTTATCAGTTTTTGCATTTATAGAAGCTTTTGGGTGAATAATAATTCAGCAGTACTCAGTTATTCAGCTATAACTATGTATTTTAAGAAATTAAGTTTTTAAGCAATACTTAACTGTTGAGAAAAAATAAGGGAGAGATTAGGATGTAGAAAACAGGTCTACTGTAAACCTGGAATAAATTTAGGAAATAAAGTTTCAAGTACATAAGAATACCCAAAAGAGGACTTAGTTTACAAACACATTATATATGTAAGCAACGGAAAGCCCTATCTAAAAAAGTGTTAATAAAAATATGAGAGCTTTTTGAGATTAAGCAGAAGTCCTAAAAACTAAATGCAAGTGAAAAAGACTGTAGAATTGTTGTAGATTTATGACAAAAACTTTGAACTTAGTGGTCAACTTTAGAAGTAGTGAAATGCTTCTCATTTAAAGTGGTTAATGAATTAATTTTGATAATAATTGAAACTTTAAGCAAAAATAGTTTTGTTTGCTATAAAGCAGGGATGTCCAACCCGCGGCCCAAGGCAAGTTTCAATGCGGCCCAATAAACATGTAAACAAAACTGACAAATGTTTTAATTTTTCTATTATTTATTTATTTCAACGGCATAAACTCAAAAAAGAAGTTTCACAATGCCGTAAACCTTTATTCATATTTTATTTTTGAGTGGAAAGGAAATATTTTCAAATACTTGGAGACGTGAGAATGAGGAAGGATTACTAAATAAAGCTGGTGTTGTGATTCAAACGATTATAGCCTCAAATTTGGGAAAGGGAGGGAAAGGTGAGAAAGGACAAAAGATAAAAAGTAGTGAGAAAGGTTAAATAGATCTTCTGTTATGCAAATATTGACCCTTAATTTTCCAATCTTTCTCACTTCTTTATTTTTTGTCTTTTTTCTCCTTTCCCACATTTGGGTCTATAATCCTTTGAGTCACAACTCCAGTTTTATTTAGTATTTCTTCCAACGTTGCAAGATTTGGCTAAATTGTGCCAAATATGACTACTTTTTTTGTTTGAAATAAAAAATATCATTTGGCATTTTGGCTACTTTTTGGGCTACATATTATTTATAANTGCCACTAAAAATCTACCTTGGAAAATTTTTTTAAATCAAGAAATAGATAATTTCATATTTCAAGATCTGTTTATCTAATAAACAAATGTATATATTAAACTCTATATTTGAAAATAGGGTCACAAAACAATCAGCATATTGAATAAGTAGAAAGCGAGTGGCCTTGCAATGGCATGGTTAAATCTTTAAACCATGGTTTTATTTGAATTTCTTATATATATGAATCCTTATTCTGCTTTGGTGTCTTTTAGTGACTATACATAGAACATAGCTATTGCTAAACAACTCATTCATCTATAATAATTGATACTTGATTTAAAATTGCTAACTACCTATTCTTTTTATTTTTCAAAGATATACATTCCTGTAAATATTTAATTTTAGGCTACTCTTTTATTAGTTTGGCGTAAAAAATATCATTTGACGCAATGGCTACTTTTTGGGCTACATATTATTTATAAATGTATTAGTTGAATAAGAATGCAATTTAAAATGGTGTTTCGTTGTTTTTTTATTAACTAGAGACCCAAATAAAACAAATATTTGTGTTTTTCAAATAAATTTTTGTCTGTCTCTTTTATAATAAATGAATGTATCTATTTCTAAGCAAACATTCCAAGTGTCTGTAGAAGTAATTTTTTAAAATATCCTTTTTTATGATAAAGTTTTAATATTTATTATTATAATCTAGACATGTTAATCCTTAAATATACATGTATATTGGGCCATAAGTATATATTATATAAACTTGTGGTCCAAAACTCCTTGACTTCTTCCAATGCGGCCCAGAGAAACAAAAAGGTTGGCCACCCCTGCTATAAAGTATTCTAATGTTTTGTTGATATTATGATCTTTAAATATGTGTCTGTGATGAAAACTATCTTGCTAACAGTTGGAATTAGCATACTCAAAGATGAATTTGTAATTTGATAATGCACTTGTTTCATTAAAGCAGTTGTTAAAATACATTGATAAATAATAAAAATACAATGTGTTTTCAGAGTGATGTCTAAAGTGACCAGATCCTGGAATGTAAAAAGTGGGACAATAAACAGGCACTTTAACATGATGTCAGATGAGTTGTGATTGATTCTGGTTGATGATTGCCAGTTTTTTAGCCTTCTGACCAATGTTCCCTCTAAGCTGCGTGGCCGCGCACTGCTCAAATTGTTGCCGCGCACGAGAATTTATGTGCCACGCAGGCGAGCATGCACACCGATTTGAATTGTTGTTTACTTATTTCTCACTCTGTCTGCAACATGATTATTGCTGCGTATATTTCGATTAAATACATTAAATCATTGACAAAAGATAATATTTCGTATAAAAGTATGTTTTAAAATGAATTTTAATCTCTACTTTATAACTAATTATTTTCATTTTTACAGGAAAAAATAATTTTATATATATATATATAAGCTCATAAAATATTTTTGCTCAGAGAAGTATATGTTCCGCTCATCTACAAAAAAAATTAGAGGGAACATTGCTTCTGACATCACTGATGACAGATGTTACAATCAATCAATATACACCTAGTTGTTTACAAAATGACCTACAATGAAAGCAATAATTAATAGTTAATTACAGCTTGGAGTGAAGTTCTGTTTGCTTTAATTGATGATTTTTAACCCAGATAATTAGCAAAAACAATCAACTTCTTTATGTTGCTAATTCAAATGACTGTGATATGTGTGCAATACATGTTTATATATTCACTGCCCTCTGACAGACAGGACATTAAATTGTCAATTTGTCTACTGTTTCTATAAATTTTATATTAGAATTTTTATGCTATAACTGGATTCATCTTGTGATTCATCTTGTGATTCATCTTGTGATTCATCTTTGACTTACAATTTGTGCAATTAATATTTTGGCTCTTTTTGAATATAACTATGAAATAATCCAAAAGTGACATTTTTCAAACAGTTTAAAAATTGGGACAGCATATTAAAAAGCAAGATTGTCCCACCTAATTCAGAATGTCTGGTTACTTTAGTGATGCCATTTGCTTAATTTCTGTTTTCAAATATTAAATTTTAATTAGTGAAAATAATTCATCTTATATTAATTAAATTATCCACAACTGTGAGGCAGATAATAGTGAGGGCTTATCATACCAATGATGGGCACAAACGCTCAGGGATCAAAGTGAAAACAATTTAATAAACTCAAAAAATTACTACTTAAGTGTGAAAACAAAAATCCAAAATGCATTTCGGACTATTTTCCCAATAGAAAAAGTCCCTCATCAGTTGGTATTAGTTAAAGGTAATGCTATAATAGAATTATACAAGGTAACGATCAACTTAAAAACTAAGCCTAAAGTTATACAATATAAAAATTGAAGACACCACTGTAACAGTATGAGTAGTAAGCATCATCAGTAGGTATATTAAAAATTATACAAAGTAGGGGTAACCTTAAAACTGCCTAAAACTATACAATATAAAGGTGAAGACACCATTATAACAGTATGAGCAGTAGGCAATATCAGTGTAGACAAGTGTAATAAATCTTCATGACTTTGCATAGTGGAGTGACATACAGTCACTCCACCATGTCTGTATGTCACTCCACCATGCAAGTCATGAAGATTTATTACACCTGTCTACACTGATATAGTTTACTGCTCATACTGTTATAATGGCGTCTTCACCTTTTATATTGTATAGTTTTAGGCAGTTTTAAGGTTACCCCTACTTTGTATAATTTTTAATATACCTACTGATGATGCTTACTACTCATACTGTTACAGTGTGTCTTCAATTTTTATATTGTATAACTTTAGGCTTAGTTTTTAAGTTGATCGTTACCTTGTATAATTCTATTATAGCATTATCTTTAACTAATACCAACTGATGAGGGACTATTTTCTATTGGGAAAATAGTCCGAAATGCATTTTGGATTTTTGTTTTCACACTTAAGTAGTAATTTTTTGAGTTTTTTAAATTGTTTTCACTTTGATCCCTGAGCGTTTGTGCCCATCATTGGTCTGATAAGCCCTCACTATTATCTGCCTCACGGTTGTGGATAATTTAATTAATATATTTATATCACGGGCTAGAAGCAACTTTTATAATAATTCATCTTATGTAAATGTATTGTCACTCTTGCAATCAATATAAAATGTTTATTATACTTTATTATAATTGTTTTGTTATTTGCATTAACAAAATAATTTGTGCGCTGATTTTCCAAGAACTACATCTCATATTGTTGATAATATTAATCATATTTATTATAAATATTTATATATTTATATCTCATGAAAAGAGTACAAGTACTGTACTTTTGTTTTATTATGCAAGTTTTATCAGCTGAAATTAATGTAAGTGAACATAATCCCAGAGTTTGAAACATCAGAAAGTAGACAGACAAAAATGTAAAAGCAGCTGAACTTTTATTTCCTCCTAAAAGATTAAATATTTTATTATACAAAAAATTAACTTTTCCAAGTTTACAAATCCTATTTTAATGCAAATGATACAAAACTAAATGCATTTAAACAAAAATTAAAGTTGTTTGTTGTTTTTATAGTAGCAATCTTTAATTCATCTGTTTTCAAATCACATAAATTCTAGCATTTGATTTGAAGGTCATATTTTGTTCTTTTATGTGATGAAACTTTACATAATAAAATGAAAATATTTGTACAGTTTTTATAAATGTTATTTTGAATCATCTATACCAGTGTTTTTCAACCTTCTTGAATATGCAGCCCCTTTACAAGTTAAAATATTCTGGCAACCCCAGGGCCATATTAAAACTATGTCAGTGATTTTAAAAACTACATATTTAATTTTCTTTCTGTTGAGACCTAAATATTGATTGACAAACCAATTGTAATGTGTAAAAGAAGTCGCAAGACCCCTACAAATAGTAACTTTGCCACGGGAGCTCTGGAGGTGAGTGTGCCTTGTGCTGCCCGTGCAGTAACATACACACGCACGCTTTCTTTTGTTTCCATCAGTTGTCTGAGTGCACCAACAAGTACAGATGTGATTGTATTGTCTTTGCACTTTGCTCCGCATGAGAATAAAATGGACAAGTTTCTCAAAAAAAGATCGCAACCCTCCATGTCTGGTACAAGTGGCAGTGATGGAAGTCAATCAAAACCAAAAAAAATAGACATTACGACGACAATTACTTGAAATACGGGTTTACTGTCATGAATAATAAATCTCAATGTGTAATTTGTGGCGATGTATTATCACATGAGAGTATGAAACCATCAAAGCATATGCGTCACATCTCAACCAAACATTCCAAAGAAGCTCACTGAAATTGTAGTTTTTTTTATTGTGGTGTAGGACCTACAAACACTTGTCTTTTTCTTTTACCCGCGACCCCACGAGGGGTCGCAACCCACAGGTTGAAAAACTCTGATCCATACTAATATTATAAAGAGCTAAAATTTATAAGTTGGATGTAGGAGGTAATCTCTGAAACTACTCATCCGATTTCAAAAATTCTTTCACCAATATTTAGAATGGACCTTCAGGATGGACATAGGCTGTATATTATTTCAATAAACATTTGTATAAATTAAAAGATATCATCTAGGTAAGCATTATATTTTTGGTGTCGGCGGATGGTGAGGGACAAGATGCATACATATATGAGATAGGTAACTGTGTGGCACGGTTACGTGGTCAGCAAGATATGCAGTGCACGTGTCCAAACTTGTGATATATAAAATTACATTTCCTGACTGATTCATCATCGCCCAGAGCAAACCGCTGAACCTAAAGATGTGAAATTTGGTACACAGTTAGGGTATGTCATGAAAATGCACACTAAGAAGGGATTTTTCGAAATTCCCCTGCAGGGGGCGAGGGAGATGATTAAGGCTTAACCTTAAGAATGTCTTCTACTGTACTATTTTAGATGCAATTTTTTGTTTTTATAGTAAGAACTAATGTTGAGAATCTTAGTGAAGTATTGAGGGAGAATTATTTGTATCAAATTGCAAATTTCACGTGGGTGAAGCCACGGGTAACAGCTAGTATATTAATATTTTGATGATCTACAAATTTTTGTAATGTTTATAACATGCAAGACAAACTATGAACAAAACAGGAGAGAGGTGAATAGGACCTAGGCCAGTCAAAAATATCAGATTCCTTTCTCTTCAAAACTCATAAAAATGTATAAATAAAATTAATGAAATGGATAAAAATGCATTTTTTCATTGCTTTTAAAAAAATAATTATATTACTGTCATATTGTGTTGTTTTTATATATATAAAAGATTAAATTTTGGAGATTCCTCTGTTTTTAGAGATTGCTGGTTGCCTTCTCTGTTAGAACTTTCTTATATTTTAATCAGTTTTCTGGAAATCTCATTTAAAAATTAGAGAATCATATATGAGGTTAGATGTTTAAATTAACTTTGTTAATAAAAATTTTATTGAAAAATTATGTTTTTTGATTATAAATGTTTGTATTGTGGTTCTGACATTTTATATAAGAATTAATGTGATATAGTAATCAAGTTTAAATAATGTGATGTAAATGAATTTTATTAATTTAGTAAAATTTATTTCAGGAAATCATTTTGGAAGAAATTGATAAATATCAGAATAGTAGGAAAATTAATTGGAAAAATGGTCGTGTGTCCGGAACTGTGTATGGTAATAATGATCTTGAAGTTAAAGATCTTATGACTTGTGTATTTAATAAGACTGCTTGGACTAATCCATTACATCCTGATGTATTTCCTGATGTAATTAAAATGGAAACTGAAATTGTGAAAATGGTTTGTCATCTGTTTGGTGGAAGAAATGAAGAATGTGGTATGGTAAGTGTTATTTTTCATATTTTTATCTAATTAAATATGAGTTTTAACGTGTGTTGTATTTATGTTAATTTTGTTTTGTTTTATACTGGAATTAGGTTACAAGTGGAGGAACAGAAAGTATTATTTTAGCATGTAAAACATATAGAGAATATGCAAAATATGAAAAAGGTATCAAGTGTCCTGAAATGTAGGTGACCATTAATTAAGTAGTCATTTAAATTAGTATTAGTATTGACTGGTAAATTCATAAANCAAATTCGTAAAATTTTTGTTTATTTTGAACAATCCGGATAATCGAAAATCCGGATAATGGAGGTCCAGATAATGGAGGTTCTACTGTATTAAGATTTATTAAGTGCAATAAACTTTATTTTTAAAAAAATAATGAGTGATGAACAAAAAAATATTTTTTTTTTATTGACTTTCAGAATAGTTTATTTGACAAATATTAAGTTAAACTGCATACCAAATGTTTCAATATAAGAACAGATAAAATGGACATATTGTAGGATGGTATTAAAATCCTTTTAATAATGCAAGTACTTTCAATGATACAGAAATGTATTCATCAGGTTAATGAACATCTGAAATTGGAACAGAATTTGTCCACATGCAGTAAGATTTTAACATTAATGGAATTTCAAGTTTGCAAGTTCAAGAAAAGGAATAAAATCACAATTTGAAATGACAAAGTATTTTTGATTGTATGAAACCAGTGTACACAATCACATGGGCTCATTATGATTGCATAGATTCCTTTCATGAAACCAGTGTACACAATCACATGGGCTCATTATGATTGCATAGATTCCTCATTGAGAAGCTTAAAATGTGAGATCCACAAACTAGGAAGTTCAAGTATGGGTGTATTGGACAGGTATAAGATGGAAATGATGTGGGATTCCTACATAAGTAGTACTAGTAATCAGCACAAGGTTTGAGGAGAGTGGTTTGGGTTCACAAAGCACTCAAGAAAATTGATTACTGATCTGTGAGTCTTGCTTAGTTACCCCTTCATCTTTGGAGGCTAAATCTATCACCAATATGATTATCAGTTCATTATCTTCAATTACATACAGCTGATTAAAATTGAACATATCTTTATCCTTCTGTTCCTTATTTTGAGGCTGCCATGCTCACTAATACTTTGCTCCTCAAAACAGTTTTACCTTACAACGGATTCTTAATATATAAGAGGCACATTTGTTCATCACTGAACACAATTATTTGCACTTTAATGGTGCTATATATTTACAGAAGCAGTGTGTTCCTTTGGGGTCCTTCCTATTTGTTACATTGGCAGAGTTGGTCATGAGAGAAGTGGAATTTAAATATTTACTTCCCCACTCACTATATGCTACTTACTTCTACATTTGTGTTATGTACACAATGTTCTTATTGTGTGGAAGGTACAGACTAGGTGCTGTCACACTTTTATATCATTTGTGTCTTTTACTACTATATTTCATTTCCCATAGGAGAGAAGATGAATGTAAAAATAGCATTCTTAGCTCTGTGTATGCATAGATCTTCTATGGGGCTCCTTGATTCAGTCTACCACAAGTTTAATGCAAGTAAAGCAATATGTCATATTATCTCAGCAACATCTTTCAACCTTCATGTTACATCAAATCGGCCATTTCTGCCCTGATTAGAAGAGCTGTTTTACTTCCATCAATTTCAGTTCAAGGCAGAATATTTACCCACCAAGTTTTTGTATGTTCTTATCATGATCAAAATTTGCTGTTTCCAAACACTATTTTACATTCTAAAATAGTTGACTTTTGTGCAGCCATCAATTCCATACCTTGGTTCCTTCTCAATACCCATTTGTCACAAAAATTATGTCTCCTGCCTTTCTCCAGACAACTAACTTTACGCTTATCTGTAATCATGGGATAAACTTGCCTTTCTCAAAAAATCTGGGGTCTGTACTGTACTACTATTACAAACAACAGCAGAAGAAAATGCTTAGTACATTGACTGGTACCACTGCCAGAATGCTGGTTGGACACTTAACAGAACATTAAGAGGATATCACAAAATGTAGATACTCTGCAGAGCTGGCCAAAAAAAGTCAAGAGTCCAATTTCATCTCTGTGGACCCAAATCACTTGCCTAAAGCATTATGCCAATCATAGGATACTATTTATTTGAGAATCATCATTTGTACCTTGTGCCCATGCAAAAAACATACTAGAACTTCCTAGCTTCTGGTTTTCACTTTTTAAGCTTACATGCAATCATAGCCTCCCTTTGTGATTGTGTACAACAGTCTTGTGATCAAAAATGTTTTGCCAGTTCCATTGTGCTTATCATTTCAAATGGTTATTTTGTTCCTTTTCTTGCACTTATGAGCCTTAAATTCCATTGAAATGTTTAAATGTTAAAATCTTTTACTGCATGTACAGGAAGTCTGTTCAAATACCAAATATTCATTAATCTGATGATGACAATTCTGTATCATTGAAAGTACACTGTCAGATGGTGTTAAAAGGATCTGACAGTGTGTTCACTTTGTTCTTATAGAATAGTTAATTAATATTACATATGTACTGTATATAGTATTGGGGAAAAATTGTATCTGAAAATATATTGATTAAAAAGTAACTCTACAAAGCTAATAATGCAGTTGAATGATTTTGTCGAAATGAAGCATACATGATCTTTCAGACAATATACTATTTTTCAGTTACTCAGCCTGTTCAGACATGTATTGAAATGTGCAATAAATTTGTTCATTTTATCTTCAAAAACTTATTTTGATTTTGTTTCAACAACTTAGCAATGACAACTTTTACTACTACATCAATATAGTGAAAAAATGACTATAATCTGTTTATTTTAACGTTGTGCATGACTAGGAGAAGATATACAGTTGCCTATTTTCTTTGCTGGACAAAATGTATCCTTCCAGTTTCTCATTCTTGTAACATGGAAGGTTGAAAACTTAAAGAAACTGAAAACAAGTAAACATCAAAGCTATACATAAGACAGATTACCTAAACCATTTATTCATCTAAACAATTAAGTAGATACTTTGGATTTACTTGGAAAAAACCCAAAAGTCACAATCTCATTTAGTACATTATGAAGAGATGAATGATTACCATTAAATTAAAAAAATTTTTTTTCTTTTTTTGGAAAAATCTGACACAATTTCATAACATTATATGAGCAGTACTTTTTTTCCCTTTAAACTAAATTCTTCATTCATATCACTAATACCAAACAGGTAATAAAATGTAAAGATATTGATCTTTACATTTTATTACCTGTATTAACTGTCTAATCATAGCCTGATAATTTGGCTTTAATCAAAAATCAGATTTGTTGAATTGTTGTTTATATTAAGTTATCTAATGCAGCAGTAATATTATTGCTGTATTGTTCATAACTAATCTTTGTATGCAGTTCAATGTGAATTTATCCACTTCAGTTACAGATTTTCTTCTGTTACCTCTTTTTCTCGGTGTCAACAGTTTTTGTTTACTTGAGGAATATTTTGACATAGTATCTCTACTAACTCCTAGAACTAAACTAAAACAATTCTTTGGTATACAGATTTTACATCCACAAAAGGACTTCCATTCTCACTTTGTGTCAGATTTTTCAAAAAAAAGAAATTCATAACATTTTATCAGCAGTACTTTTTTTTTTCCTTTAAACTAAATTTTTTATTCATATCACATACAATCTATGTTTACTTTCAAAAATAAAGGGTGGAGCAAAGCCTACAAATAAATAAAGAAAAGGCTTTATAGGTTTAACTTATTTAATTTGCTACTATTGATAATTAAACAATTTTAAATCGTTCTTGCTAATTTAAAATTTTGGAGGGAATTATTTCTTATGAAAGCATGTTCAAGATTAGAATAAACAGACTACATGTATTTGTTCCTTAAAATATTGGAAAAAATGAAAATCAAAAAGGGTCAGATCTGAATTATAAATAGGATGATAAACTTGTTGAAATGTCAACAATTCAGTGTGGACTTGCTGCAGACTACTCTGCAACACTTTCGTGTAACATGATGATTTTTTTTTTTTTTCATCTCAGTGCAAGAAGACAATGTCATATCTCATCAGATATGAGTTCTCGGTGCATATATAAATTTTTTAAAGCAAAAAGATTCCACTCCTTTAATTGATGGAGGATTTTAGCAAGTGGAATATTTTTGGTTTGTAAAAATTGATTAACTGCTCAGACTTCCTTGTGAAACCACTTTTTTTTTTTAACATTGTCATCATTTTAAAATGTTACATCACAACTATACTGAATGAATGGATCATTTAAACCATATTTTCAATGTGAATTATTACTACTAATCTCCATTGGAGATACATTGACTATTTTTTGGTTTTAAACTGGACTTCATCCCTTCATACAACTATATTAAATTGTATGTAAAAAAAGGAAAAGTGATTATTATTGTCCTTATTTCAATTCTTGTTATATTTGTTAACTTGGACATAAATTATTAATAGGACTGTTAAACTGGTGTTAAGTATTAACACAAAATTGAGTAGAAGTTCTCAAAGAAAACAGAATGTCTTTATTGAGCCTCCTGTACACATACTTTTGTTTACAACTGTGTTTTGGGCTAACACGCCCCTCTTCAGCAGGGTTACAATTGCTATCATCTTTGACTACAAATGTTAAATAAATTATCAGTAAAATTTTAAAAAACTAAAATTACTAAAGTTAATACAATGAAATAGGCTTATGAAATACAAGAATCTAATTTCTAACAATAATAGGCTTTTTGGTGGATTTATAAATTGATTCATAATCCTATTATAAAAAATTAAAATTACATTGAAAATTAAAAGCATACAAAAAATTTTTTTAAGATATGGTTTAAAGTGAGGTGTTTTACCTTTACAATGTTCAGGCTGCCCATGATTGGTTAATTATTCTATCTAAGTTATTGTTTATTCTATTTTTCTCTCTTTTAATATTTATATGCTCATATAATTGTCTCTTATAATTATCTGGTTCTCTTTTCTTTATTTTATTTTAATTTATTTAATTTTAATTTAATTTAATTTATTATTAATTTTATTTCACAACTATCTTTATTAACAAGTTCAGTTACTGCTGAATTTGCATAATTTCTTCTTATTGCACGTATATGTTCTTTTATTCTTGTTTCTAATTTACGTTTGGTTTCTCTGATATATGTT